CCATTTTACACAGCGTGGGAAAATTCTTTTGAATGTTCCCACGCTGTGTAAAATGACAAAGAGCACTCTGATTGGCTTAAACCCACCAATCAGAGTGTTCTTAGCCTAATTGCAGGGCGGGGCAAGGCTTTATAAGCCTCCCCCGCCCTGCGGAGCTCAGTCTGCGCGGAGCCCTCCATGGGTGAAGATGGATTATTTTTTTGCGCTCGGGTTTTTTCTTTTTCGTCGGGTTTTTTTTTTTGCGCTCAGGATTTTTATTTTATTTTAAGTTCGACGGTTATGATGGTTTTTTATTTGGCCTTTTTTGGGGCTGAAAAATGAAGATTTGAGAAAAAAGAAGACGTCGAATGGTAAGTTTAATTTTATTTTACAGGTTAGTTATTTTATTCCCCCCTCACTATTTTTTAGGGTGAGGGGGGTAGATATGGACTTTTAATTTGGGTGGGGGGGGTGGGTGACTAGGGGCTTGGGGACCCCTAGTAACCTTGTGGAGGGGGGAATTGACTTAGGGCCTCCACCCGCCGCCCAGGGGTGGGGGCCGGGGGGGGAGGACAGTAGGTCCTCCCAACCCTCATTAGCTTTATGGCCCCCACCCGCCTCCAGGGGTGGGGGCCAGAGGGGGGGTGGACAGTAGATCCCCCCATCATTATCATTATGGCCCCCACCCGCCACCCAGGGGTGGGGGGCCGGGGGGGCAGTAGGTCCCCCCCCATTATCATTATGGCCCCCACCCGCTGCGCAGGGAGGTACCCTCTTGCCTATTTTATTCCCGTATCTATTTTACTGGATTATTCAAATTCTTCAGTATTTTTCCCATATTGAATAATTACTAGTATATAATAGAGTTTGTTTACTTATACAAAAATCCACTTTACTTTAAAATAAAAAACAGAATTTCAACTTCTTTCCAGAATGGGACTTTGTTGCTTTTCCGATATCTAGTCATCAATTTTGAGGCAGTCTGAATATAAGTAATTATTAATATATATTGTTTGGTCAGCTGTGGCCATTTGATTTGCACTACAAAGACCCTAGTGAAAAAGGGTCTTAGAGTTTTTTCTATATTATAAAAAAAAAGGTGGTGAGGGGGTTTAAAATTTGGTATTGGTTAAAAAATATGTTCAAAAGGGTAGCAGCTACTACACTGAATGTGCAAACCTCCAAAAACACACAAAAGTGAAAACTTGATGTAAAACAGTGGAGTGCTATATACCTCTAAAGCGCAACAAATGTGCAATATACAGTATATATAAAAAAAATTACTTAACTGGCATAAATAACCATCTGTGATGTGCCAGCAAATATACCTTTAAAAAAGAAATTTGTGCAAAATAGTATAAAACCTTAATACATATGTTAAAACAATAAATCTAATATGGAACACTCACATGGTCTAGAGCTATTCTTTGATAATACCTGTAAGCTAATCTTTGGCTTTTTGTTTTTCCGAATAAATTAACTAAGTGCCGACTGGATCATTTTGTGCCAACACAAACGTAATTAAAAGGGAATCAACCGGAACATGCCTATCTATTTTAGTAGTATATAAGCTTTTATGTCTATTTTTATTCATGTTTACTAACAATTTTAAGAAGTTGGTTTTTAATATTTTATATGGATCAGATGTTAGTTTAATGCCTAAATAATTTAGCAATTTTTTTGGCCAGATTAAATCATAATGCTCCTTTATGTGTTCTTTTTACGCATCTGCTATATTGACTGCCATTACCGAAGATTTGCTTGTATTTAATTTGTAATCTGAGTATTTACTAAAATTGTTTATTTCCTTCATTAGGGCATCTATCGAGGTACTTTGCTGTTGCACCATCATCAAGATATTGTCCACATATAAATTTATTTTTGTTTCATGATTTCTTTATTGTGTATCTATTGCGAGTGGTTCCAGAGTTAAAATGAACAATAGCGAAGACAGGAGACACCCTGTCTGGTGCCATTTTCTATCTTAAACCACTCAGAATCTATTCCAGCCCCTTAGGTCCTTGCCATGGGAGTATCATATAATCGCACTGAAAAACAGGCCCCCTAAATCCAAAAGCTAAGAGAGTCTGTTCTAAAAGGTTCCAGCTAACCCTGTCAAAGACTTTCTCACCATCCAATGACAGGGCCAGCATAGGAATGCCCCTGGAGTGGGCTGACTATAATACCTATAACCCTTCTCATGTGATTTGCGGATGACCTGTTCTGGACAATTCCAGGGAGAGAATGAGAAGCCTTCATTACGGCCTCTGGGGGTTTAGGGTTTTTAGTTAATAAATCCACCTGCATTCCTTCTGACGTAAGATTTTATCAAAATCTCCTCGTCTTGTTCGCGTTTGACTAGTTCAAGGCCACAGAATCTTATTTCCCTTGATATGCCCTCATGGCATTCTTTAAGGTGTCTGGAGATTTAGGTTTCTAAACTTTTTATGGAGACCTCACATGTTCTTTGATTCATTCCTTAAACGGCCAGAAAGTTTTACCCACATACATCAGTTTGCAATTGCAGGTGAGAAGGTATACTAGCCCCACAGAGTTGCAATTAAAAAAAGTGTGTGATTTTATAGGAGTGCCTCCCTTCACTATACGTCACACTTTTGGAGTCTCGTAGGATGTACTCAAGGGCCACACACCTGCGCATCCATAGGACCCTGAAGGAGTGTTCTGTCCCAGGTATGTAACATAGAAACATAGAAACATAGAATGTGACGGCAGATAAGAACCATTCGGCCCATCTAGTATGCCAATTTTTTTTTAAAATACTTTCATTAGTCCCTAGCCTTATCTTAAAGTTAGGATAGCCTTATGAATATCCCATGCATGCTTAAACTCCTTTACTGTGTTAACCTCTACCACTTCAGCTGGAAGGCTATTCCATACATGTAGTTGGTGGGTTCCATTTAATCGAGAAATGGCTTGGGACCAGGATATCACAGAGGTTCTTACTCCCTGTATGCTGTGATGGTTACTTGGGGACCCAGGACGTCTTTGAGATGAGTGTCTTTTAGTAGGATTGGCCAGAACCTCTGTACAAACCGTTTGACCTCATTCCATCCTGTGTCAAAAGTCCCAATCATTCTTATAGTTTTGTTAGTGGTCTTATCAACTTTTGGGGAATCTGATAGGAGGTCAACTCTGTCAGTCTCCAGGGCCCTTTTATATGCTCTTTTCAGGCACTTATTAGGGTACCTTTCATTTGGAATTATTGTATTACTGTATAGTTCCTCCATATCCTAAGATACTTTTCATATATTTGCCATGGGTTTTGCCCCCCAATACCTCCTGTAACCTTCTATGAGGCACTAGTGCTGGTTAGTCCAACACTATAAGCTCTTTCTTTACTTTATGCTTTAATCATTCAGCCACCCATTCAGAAAGTCTCTTCCAATGTGACTGGTTTCTTCAATTGGCAGACACTGCCATCTTGCACCCTGAGGCAATAACAGCCCTAAAATAGAAACCAATAAGTATGCCTTTATTCACAGAGCCATCTTTAATGCAGTTCAAGCCGGGCAGCAGCCCCGGGCACAGTTACTCCTGGGGGACCCAAAGTAGCTGCCCCGTGGAGCCACTGCCCGCAAAAATATATTTTTTAGCTACCCCATGGGCCAGCGGTGCAGCTGCACTGGGGCCTGTGCTGTCAGGGGGCCCACTGTGTAGCCCATGCACTAAGGGCCACCCGGTGGGTATGTTACAGCAGGGGCCCAGTCAGGTGATGTGGCCCTTTAACAGCATGACTGGGCCCCTTGCTTATCGGCAGCTAGGAGGAAGTGATCAACACTGGAGCCACGTGCAGGAGGGGAAGGAGACAGAGAGAAGGGAGAGAGCCAGCCCCTACTCCCAACAACCAGTGGCAGTGTGTGTATATGTGTCTGTATATCTGCATTTGTTTCTGTGTGTGTGTGTGTTTGTCATAGTGTGTGGCAGTTTATGTGTATATGTGCATTCATCTCGTCATTCAAATGCCAACACTACACACAAATACATCCCTGTATTTAAACTTCAACACTACATATAAACACACTCCTGCATAGACACATCAGCACTACATAGAAACACACCTCTGTCTTCAACACCAAAATTATATATAAATCCACACCCCCACATTCAAGAACCAACACTACACATAAATGCATGCTTGAATTCAAATGCAAACACCACATACAAACAGTCTTACATTCACACAAATATACTCCATACAAAAACATGCTTACATTCAAACACACAAACACTGCTCAGTGCTAAATACAACACACCCTTTATTAAACAAGACTAGGCATGTGCAAAGTTTGCTGAAACAGGGCATTGTTTTTTTGTTTGTTTTTTTTTACAAACTCTATACCTAGTTGCTCTCAAGAGTGTCTACAGACAGTCATCAAGGAACAGGAACTTCAGGAATTGGAATCATTATAACCAGGATAGTTTCACTCCCCTTTCCTTCCAAAAAAACCCCAAAATAGTTGTTACCATACTTCATTTTTTGGATTGGCAAAAAAACTTTAATATAAATTTAAATGTAAATAGAAGATATTGTGAAATTAAAACAGGTTAACACAAGTTATAGTTGATTTTCAACGTTTTATTCAGTGGTTTATTTTTTTAAATTTTTTTTCTTAAATTCTTTATTTTATTGCGGCATATGAGATGGGGTACAGAAGAGAGAAAGGGGAAATGTACAGTTTATTCACAGGATGGGGTAATACATCGTTAGCATTAGGTAGATACATTTCCTTGTTTAGTGATGCCACTTTTCTTGTTTTTCAAGTCGATTAATGCAAAAATGAGTAAAACTATTATAGCTATTCTTGGCATGCTTAGTTGAGCAATGGTTGTATGATTATTGAGTTACAGGCTTATGCAAAATAATATCAGTTACAGGTTTCTCTAGCTGATTGAATTTGACCACCAGGGGGCAGCGAGTCGCTGGGCTAGCCGGCTAAAGCGTGCATGTGTGCTCAGTCATTGTTTTCTAAATCATTGCCGTGCGAATCTGCAGATACGAAATCAACCTTAATAAAATCAAAATAATACTGAAACTGAGAATGACATGTTAATATAAAGGATATACAGTGCTCTGCTAGGATTCTAATTATATATGAGTAGCAGTCGCTTAATTACTCCTGCAGCAGTGCTGGGTCAGCTGGCGACCTGGCTGTAGTCAAGTTCCTTTTGTTCCACGCTGATTGCTTAAAAGCTGAGGTACTTGTTGGCCAGAAGTGTATTCGGACTTATGTGTCTGCTGGTATCAGTCTCTGATATAAAATGAGGCCTGTGTCCCGTGTCCGTTATTCCTCCATGTTTAAGCAGGGTCAGCGGGCGCGGCGGCCATCCTGGGTTTTGCCTCGCGGTCCCTGGATGATCTTTTCACCGCATGGGTTGCCAGGAAGGGTCACTGCTTCCCCGGTGGGGTCCGGGATAACCCCCCCAGGCCCACAGGGGGAGAGAACGGGACCCTCATCAGGCGTATGGGAGGGCCCGCTGGACTAAGTGCGGGAGATCGGCCAGAGCCTCACGACAGGCCGCAGCTCCATCCGCCCAGCATTCAGCTTTGCCGCACGACGAGGGCCGACAGCCATACCGAGGGTTGTGGCTCGGGTCCTCTTTGCCTTCTCGTAGCTGCCTAGTGTGTTTTAGGGGAGATAGAGTAGTTTTGGGCTGTTTATTAATCTTTCATCGTGGAGCCAAGGCGCCTCATGTCCGTCCAGCTCGGCGGTCAGGCCCCACCCCCTCTTCAGTGGTTTAATGTGACAGTTTCCCTTTAAATTCTACCTAAAAACTCTCCATCTACTAAACTATCTCATTTAACAGAAAAATAGATAAAATAATTCTAAAACTTTTGATAGCATAAAACAAAAACATATCATTATTGCTGAACTGATCGTACTGTAGAACGGTGATCAAGGAGTTATAAGTAGTTGTCATAAAAACAATATTCTTTGCTGGGTATTTTACATACATTATGCTCAGTACGTGCATTCACAACACAATGATGTATGTATAAATAAAAGCATAGTTTAGAAGCAGATAAAAAAAACAAAAAGATCATTGTTCAGTTATTTTTTTAAGTTACTTACAAATGTTGAGTTCATTGTACTTTATGCATTATGCATAGAATAAATATATAAGGATCCATTATTCATAAAATAAAACTGCGAGATGAAACCAAAAATGATATAAGTTAGTTTCTACTAAAACAGACTTGTCACCTGTATGTATCTTGTATTTCAGGTAAGATAAACATAGATGACAAAATAAATAAATAAAGGAAAATGTTGAAGTTTATATTTGGGAAATAAAACTTAAAAATGCTGATCCTTAAACCACTTTCTTGTCTCTGAAACTTTTATCATCCTCTCTTGCATTTTGCCACCACTGGGTCTTCAGTTGTGCATTACACAAGAAAGTACCCATGAGGACAGCCTTTCGTGGTTGATGGCTGAAATAAATGGAATGGCTTAGAAACAGTAAAAGCTTATTGAGCTTTCCATAGTTTAAGAAAACATCATGCTTAAAGGCAAAATTTATTTCTCTAGAAATTACAGTACTGAATAAACATTGAAAATCAAATATAACATCATGTTTTACACCTCATGATATTTTTTGTTTTTTTTAATTTGTATTGAACAATTAACAAACAACTTCACAATCCAGTCCAAATCAGGCACAGCCAAGGCATTTATGCAATTAAAATGGAGAAAATATAAAATGTAGTTTTTGCTCTTGCTTTCTTAAGCTTTAAAACATCACACTTTCCTCTGGCAAGTATTCATATGTATAGTCTGGATAAACCACTTCCAGAGCTGCAGGCTTAATAGCCTTCCCATCTGTGGTCAGGGACAATAGCCGAGTACCTAGACATGAAGAAAGTTGGCTGTGGTTTGCTGAAAGAGACCTGCAGGAGAGTCTGCAAAAAAAAAAAGGGGAGGGGGCATAAAGATATATGGCGTACCACCAGACATACCATATGTACTTAGGCGAGTACCTCCTAAGAGCTAAAATGTGAAAGACAAGGAGTCCCGCTAACTGAAGCATGCGTGATATGTTTATTATAAGTAAAATATTTAGCTGTAAGGTGCTAAAAGAACTCCTTGTAGTATCAGTTCAAATGGCATGTGTGGTAGTTACTAACTGGGAATTGACTTGGCCATACCTACTTAGAATTACTGTAGTTATAAGGGGAAAGATATAGGATGTATGTAACCGAAGACTATGCCAATTCTGTTATGGACTGGGTTAGTGTAGGAGATGGACCCTAGAGGTTTGGACACAATTGAACAAAACTGAACTTCCCTTGCATAGATATAACTTGAGAAAAGTGTGACCCCTGTATTTGGAAGAAATGATTGAAAGGGACTACTTTATAGGAATGCTGTGATAATAGAAAGAAAATAGGACAAAGCAACCACAAATCGAAACCTAATACCAAAGCATTAGAGCAAGCTGGAAGAATATGCAACAATATATAAATATAATGAATTCATGACCGATGAGATAAAAGAAGAACCAAAGCAGGTGACCAGTTCCCTGGCTTGCCATGAATGAGAACAATGCCCAAAACTAACTGCAGTGCGAAGTGACATATTGGTTGAACTGGTAACTAAATAGCAATCCATGTGTAGGAACACGGTAAAATGACAAATAAGGTGAACTAATAGTAACAAACCAATACCTAAACCTCTAGGAAAGCCTTCATATGATGCAACATATTTAACCAAATTCGGCACTTACAAATCATCACACCTGTAGTAGTTCTTGGATGAAGCTAGATCCTGTATAAAGGCTAACTCTTTATTAAGTGCTCTGTGTCACAAACAATGCATCAGATGATATTCCTCGGGTGAGATGACAGAGTGTCCAGTGAAACAGGTACTAGAATGACTAAAAAGCCTAAAGTAACAAAACAATGCACAGTCAACACAGGATACCGATATAAGAGAGGCCATTCGAACAAACTCAAGGGAGACCAATATTTACCAACGCATAGGGTGTATACTGAATCACAGGAATAGTTTATGCCAAACCACTCACAAGTCACAAATTGTGCTTACAACATAATAAAGCACATGTAGCACTTCCATGGAATCCCCACATTAGGCTGTATTATGAAAAAGGCAGGGTGGGCAGTAAAAGGATGCAGATGCATGAACCATGTATATGTCTGTGAGGCAAAATCGCATAGTGTAGCTGTAAAAACCATTCATGGAGGCACAATGAAATAACTCATGGCTGTGGAGTGTAACCTTGTGCCGGGAATATAGAGAAACAATGCACGTTGAATAAAACCATTTCTGGAGTGAATAGTGAAATTAAGAAAGAATGACTTCTAACAACCCAATAAAGGGTGACAATGCCAAGTAAGCAACATCATGAAATGCATGGAGAATACCAAGACAACAAGGCAAGTTAACAGCTTGACAAAGGCCTCTGTGCCGGTTGAAACATTGCTCCTTTGTTCCAATAAATCAGCTTTTTGCAATATCCTGAGTGCCTGGACCTGGCTTTCTTCAGAACAAGCCAAGTTAAAGTGTTTGTGGACTTTGCAAAACAAAGTGTAGAATGGCCTTGTAAGGTACATATGTGTAGGCCAGATAAACCTCTCCCACAACTACAGGCTTAACAGCCTTCCTATATATATGCATTTATATTGAAATGGCAAGATACCCAACGATAGGTACCCACCCCAATAACATAAGAGTAACATGATCTAAGAGAGTTATGCTGCCTCGGACATCATCCGGATTAACAAGGCCTGCATCAGATGCTAGGGAACCAGGGAAATCTGTCTACAAGTAGGCTACTGGAACAAACCATTCCTCGACACAAAGTGAGGACCTAGAGCTGCTTGACTGCTATTACAACATCAGACCCAATGAGAAGGGCTACATAAAACATACAGTATGTCACAAAAGTGAGTACACACCTCACATTTTTGTAAATATTTTTATATTTTTTCATGTGACAACACTGAAGAAATAACACTCTGCTACAATGTACAGTAGTAAGTGTACAACCTGTATAACAGTGTAAATTTGCTGTCCCCTCAAAATAACTCAACACACAGCCATTAATGTCTAAGCTGTTGGCAACAAAAGTGCGTACACTCCTAAGTGGAAATGTACAAATTGGGTCCAATTAGCCATTTTTCCTCCCCGGTGTCATGTGACTTGTTACTGTTACAAGGTCTCAGGTGTGAATGGGGAGCAGGTGTCTTAAATTTGGTGTTATCGCCTGTAACGAACGCTGGTATAACCGATACCCGTTCATCTGTTTCCTCCCGAACTGCCAGAGCATGAGTGATTATAGCTTGCTGTTTGGGTATTAAAGTAAATGATTCTCCATATGAAATAACAACCTCCCAAGTAGATTCTCCCAGTAAAGCAGACAGGTACCCAAACATCAGTTGAAACTACATGAAGGGTGTATCAGGACTGCATTTTAATAGTGCCACACTAGCTTTTATGCAAGTCCCCATGCAAGGGGACCTCCCACGTGGACCTTGTGGGGGACAGAGACACAAAGCATACAGCCAATAATAATGCAGGGAAAAACTGTGACACTCCCAGTACAAATATACAATTCCCTCCTCTCTGCCTGGAGATAAATGGGTCAGATAAAGTAATAACTTAATTATCTCCAGGCAGAATATGTACAAATTCCCCAAAACTTGAAATGTACCCTAAAACACACAATATTCCCACAAATGTTATATTTCCGGATAACCCTGATCTGAGTGACCAACATATCCAAAGATCACCCATATCAGTTCAGGGGTTTTTGAATTCTATGGAAGTCTTAGGTGACCGGCCGCACTGGAGGCTCCTGCCCAAAACAGTTCCATAGGTTTTGGTGGTTTGGCCGGTCTATTTCATCAAGTCTGAAAAACTGAATAAATGCACGAACTGCTCCCCCTGGCTCATAGTAGCAATTGTTCCCTTAGTTCATGGGAACAAAACTACCAAACAGCGCTGTCCTAGCTGTTCGGGAAAAGGAAGCAGGCATTCGTACAGATTGGACTGGTGTTCAGGAAGTTGAGTGTCCGATTTTAGTTCCAGACACTCGATGACCAAGTCCCGCTGCGAACAAGATGGCCGCACAGGGAGAGTGCTTAAACGACTGTTCTCTTTGAAGTTAATGAGCCAGGGGGGTGGTCGGTGTACGGTAGTTACAGCTACCGAATGGAATAAAGTAAAATAAACTAAATAACTTGGTGATTTCTTCACATCGCTCTCACACACTCTCTCATATTGGTCACTGGCACCTCATGGCATAGAACTCTCTGAAGATCTGAAAAAAAAGATTTGTTGCTCTACATA